ATGCTCGCCAAATACTCTTCTGAATTCTCTGATGGGAATTTTCGCAACTTCACACACAAATTTCCTGCCCCACTTCCCTCCTTCTTCCCCTCCCAAAAACATACATCAGGATTGCACTCATAGGGGAAGTGAAAATGAAATGCTTAGGGTGAATTCGGGAACCGACGGATACTAAGGCGCACGTATGTGGTTTTGGGGCTTAGTGTCCTCTAATACGCACCTATAGACATGATCCCCGCAGTTGTTTATACAAACGTACATAACCTCGACAAGTCTTTGTTTTCAAGGGTGCTGGTCATTTTCAAATGTGCGCACCGTACCTTTATAGGGGATGTCATCTTAATTCTATTATAGCGATATTGACTAGTGTCGTGACCACCTTGTCGTCGTCTGTGACGACTAAACTGTCAATCAGTTGAGAAAACTACACTGTTCAAATCCTGATTAAACATACTATAACACCACTAAAAAGAATATTACATGCAGCCTTAAATGTCAGTTTGGCGTTGATGACCTACTAAGTTCCCAAAAAATTACACATTCAGGGAGGACAACAGGAAATATCCACGGAAAATCACGAGGTTTTTCCGTCACTGCGTCTGGAAATAAGCGCCCGTCGAGCACAGTGAAATCTCGTAATGGCAGTAGGCAAAGATGTAGATTTACCGAAAGAAAAGAGCCTGTTCTGACAAACAACGAGAGCGGCTGTTCGCGTCAGGTATTTTGCGGGGAATGGGCTGAGCCACTGCCTAAACCAGTCGCAGTGGTGGACATACCCAATGGACGCGTCTGCGGGAAGCACACACAAATGTCCTGGCACCTCTCCCCCTCCCCAAACACAAACACCAGGATTGCACTCATAAGGGAAATGAATGTGAAATGCTTTGGGTGAATTTGGGAACCGACGGATATTGAAGCGTGCGTATGCGATTTTGTGGCGTAGTATTCGGTAAAACGCATTTATAGACATGATCCCTACAGCTGTTTAGACAAACGTACATAACCTCGAGAACTCTTTGTTTCAAAGGCTGCTGGTCATATTCAATTGTGCGCACCGTACCGTCATAGGGGATGCCATCTAAGTTCTGTCGCAGCAAGGTTGATTAGTGTCGTGACCACTTTGAAAAGACAGACAATAGGGAAAAACCATGGAAAATTGCGTGATTTTTCCGTCACCGCGTCTGTACATGAGACGTTCGCCCTTCGAGCACAGCAACATCTCGTAATGGCAGGAGTCAAGGGTGCAGACGTACCGAAAGAAAAGAGTCTGTCTTGATAAACGACGAGAGCGGCTGTTTGCCTATCTGACTCCCAGTTAGCGAGGCGCGTCCACTGTCCCAACGGCCGCTCATTGTCCGGCAGGGTGAAGACCTCGATTGTTTTCAAGTACCCCTGGTCATTGCGGCCTCCAGCAATGAAAATGCTTTCCCTGAATACAGCCGCCATGTGGTTTTCACGTGGCTCTAGCATGTCAGCGGAATTCTTCCAAAAAGCTACCGACGCTTTTAGGGGCCCTTGCCAGTCTGCTGGCTCCCGCAGATGGCACGTCTCCACTGAGGATAGACGATTGAAACTGCCATATTGGGGGTTTATAACTCTGCGACCGCCCATCACAAACACGCGTCCATCTGGCAGTGCAACCGCGGCAGCGCATTGCCTCATGTTTCTCAATTTTGGCAGTTCGTACCATCTGCATGAGAAAAAAAGGGCTAGTAAAAGCGATGGCACAATTAAGAAAATACAACGATGGACGCCTTAATAAAAATTCGGTCGACATAATCAATAGTATGCATTTATGGTCATCTGAACGAGCTTAAAATCGCTACATGGAAGGCTACGGATAATGGCCCTATATCAGAGTGGTTTTTCTGGCACCTTCTCCTTCCTCTTAATCTGTGCGTGTGCTCCCTAAACGGTCCGCGTGGTAGGTACGCTGGATCAACACGGGTGTAGGATCAGAGTGCGGCAGGTGTTATTCACGTTGCACACAGCACCGGTAAGCAAACACAGAGATATCCTCCTTATGGGTAATTTAGTCGGTACATTCAAGGCAACGCACTTACGGTCATTTCAGCACACTGAAACTCGGCAGATTGACCGATCATCGTCTCGTTATCTCCAAGATGCGGATTGGCCTTCAAACACACAGGAGACCCGAAAGGAAGCTACTCTCATGTGAGCTGAGTACTGTTTTGTTGAATTCGCCTGCTAACCATCGTCACTACTGCATTCGAATTATAGTGTCTTATGTACTCGTATTACTTAGTATGCTTATAAGTATGAATATTACTAGTAGTTTTAGTATTTTAACTTATAAGAACTATCAGTATTGCTATTTGTATTATAAACAGTTCTACTAGCACGAACATTATTGATACTGATAGCTGAAGTTATAGTTGCAGTAGTCGTATTAGTAGCTGACACTGCTTTGGGATTACTCACTCTTGACGCAGATATGTCTTTAAGCATGTAAGTGAGTATATAAACTCAGTAATATAAATTTACAATTCCGCTCTTCTCGTGTCGAAGAGAAAGCACGAACGTTCGCGGTGACTTAAGTCAGTGGTGGACAATAAGTTGAAAAAGGGGGATTTGGCATATAGAGGTAAGAATAAGCAAGACTAGTCTGGATGTACCCGAAAGGTTAAGCAAAGTGTTAACGACGGGGCCCTTTCGGGCATTAAATATAAATCAAACATACATCACTAACAAGGTCTTTTAAATCCATCACAGTTCGCGTATTTGAAGGACGTCACTTGAGAACGCACGGCTAGATTACAACCATCCTAGTTTAAACCCCGAAAGCCCTTCTTAAATCCTCGACATAAAATAC